TTACTTTGTTCAGTTTATTCAATAGAAAACAACTACTTTCCTGGCTATATGCCACGACGAACATTGAATTATATCTATTGAACACGCACACGATAAGAGTTTGAAAATAAAATATAAAAACTTCTGAAATTGAGAATTTGCATCCTCAGAGAGATGAAAATTGTGTATATCATGAAGAATCGCTGTAAGAATAAGTGGACATCATGGTTACTGATGAGGATTCAGAAATCCGAAATGGTTTCATTGCAATAAAGTCATATAACCTGTGTGTGAGAGATAATATTTCCCATATCACTGATATGAATGATCATTTTTGGAAGTTTTCAAGCTCATCAAGATCACAGTTCATGCCAGTATACTTCTCCTATACATTCCAATTTTCATTTCAATGCTGAATATATTGGTAAGTTATATTTCTATATCATTATTCATCATATTATTATTCATCCGATTTGAAGAAGAATGTCAATTCTCAATTTCGGAGGATTTTATTCTTTATTTTTCATGTTCTCCTTTTGAATGTTCATCAGATATGCATTCAATGTTCGACGTGGCAAATAGCCAGGAAAGTAGTTGTTTTCTGTTGAATATTCAGAATGATGTGTGCATATACATATTTTTGTCTGAAGGAGGATGCAAATTCTCAATTTCAGAAGTTTTTATATTTTATTTTCAAACTCTTATCGTGTGCGTGTTCAATAGATATAATTCAATGTTCGTCGTGGCATATAGCCAGGAAAGTAGTTGTTTTCTATTGAATAAACTGAAAAAAGTAAATATTCTCATCACATAGAGAATGCGAATTCTCAATGTATTGCTTTATATAAATATACTGTGCTAGTCAAAAGTCCCCTCCCCCCCCTCGTATTTTATGAACGGGTATACTTATAATAATGAAATTTGGAGGGTGGAAATAAACGGATGTAGGCTTCTCAACTGGTCATAACAGGTGACGCAATAGTCATAAATGACGTCACAAGGCCATTATTATAAGTATACCCGTTCAAAAGATACGAGGGGGGGAGGGGACTTTTGACTAGCACTGTATATCCATTTTTGTATGTTCATAATTTATCTGAGAATATTCCTTTTCAACACATTCATACCCAATCAGGGGATTCAAACTTGAACCATGGAAACTTGTGATTTTTATAGACCTCTAATCGCAGATTCGTGATAGACTCTCAATTCAGAATTTCTTTCCACGCCCTGTATGATGAATGTCAATTTATCATACACGCAAAAGCAAATAGAATTATCTTTTCAAATTTTAGCTATCAACTTATAACCTCATTCTACACAATTAATATGATCATAAAAGCTTTTCGCGATGCAATATTTTAAGTAAATTGAAATTTCGAAAATTTTAATTCAGCAGATTATTTTATAATTAAACTAGTAGGTACCAGTTTATTTACATAAGTAAATTTTTCAGGAATTTTTATTACTTTTAATTTATTTCATACTTTTTAGTTATCGCTGGCTATAGGTTTCTCAGTATGACGCCCAACTCGTCAAATTACTTAAGTCTGAGTTAATCAATCGATGTTACAGGCTTGAAAATCGATTTTTTTTAACCTGCATTTTTATTCTCAGCAAACCCTTTCATTTTATAGAGAAGCACAAAAAATTTCAATAGTGCGCTATATTGGATTAAGAGAGATGTCACATTATTTCTAATAAGTCTCGGCAAGCTCTTCCATTTACTACCCATATTGCAGCAGTGCATAAATAATATAAATATTTCGCTATCTTGGATGGTCCGACACATTGGATTTATAAGTACTTCACATAATTTCTAGAGTTACTCTCAACAATTCCGCCATATTGAATATCGCCGTCTTGTAATACTCACACCCATAACATTTCCCAATGTCTAAACATCCTACATGGAGGTTGTCAAAATTTCAAAGTCACTTTCCTGCCAAATTCCATCTTCCTCTAGGAAGTGTTTTGGCAATATTTAAAAAAGTTCCATATTCTGAATTTTTGTCACTGTTAAGCCAAAGAAACAGTTGACAAATATTGCATAATATTACCAGTACACTCTGTGTATCGAAATGGAGAAATTGTCTGCAAATCCTTCATGATCGATTTTCATGAAACATTATTCACAGCCTAGTGAAATTCCTGAAGTATCTAGATATAATAAGTCCATATGTGAGAGAAATAATCATGAAATAATGGAATAAATTTATACATTGAAATTTGTTGAAATGAGATATTTTCATTACCCCAACCTTATAATTTCTTAAGATGGTGCATTAGTGCTTCGGAGCTCGATTGCTCGAGTTATATGATAGCTAAAAACGAATGTGAATGAGATAACTAAAAATTATTGCCGCATTTACAGGGCGCACCGAAAAAAATCTAGAAGGTCGAGATCATTTTTTTTAAGAGAATGCCCTGTATACAGGGTGTTTCACAGGTAAAGGGAAATATCTCAATGGTACATAGAGGTCACCAAGATGGTTCTGAAAATACAATATTTGATAAGTCTTAGAATCTCCATAACGGAGACACAGGGGTTGTTGAAACAAGACCTCAGTGAAACTCCCTCATCCCTTATGTGCCCTACCGATTATTCATATTTGAATCGCAATTTTTGCCATCATTATTATTATTCATTTGTTCGTTTGGTAATTAATTTTATTATTTCGTTTTCTATCTATGGTTTTCTCCAGACACTTTACTTGCTAGCGCCACCACTTAGCCTTGCAACGAACTGTACCTCGCGTACCTTAAACTAGCTGCACTTTTATAGTAATCTCGTTACCGGATCAATTCCCCAACTATAAACTAGATCATAACGCCGCTAGGTGTCGCTACTGGTACCGTATTTTCAATATTTTCACCGTTGTTGGCCTCTGGCCGTTTTTGCGCCGTTTTTTTTATATTGCTACCAGAATGATATTTTTTTAATTCTGACTTTTGTTGTATGAACTGATCTCTGGCAGCCTTTGGCTCTAGGAATGTGCACTAATTTAGCTTTTATACTGATATTGTATTGATCTGGCCTGGTGCTTTAGGTAAGGGTAAAAAACACTTTGGCGTGTGAAATATTCAGTTAATTTTGTGAGACTTTTAAATCATACTTCATATCAAGAATAAATGAACCATGTGTTCCATGGGCAAGTACTGAATTTGTATCCCTATTTCCAACTCCCAAAGAACTCACATATAAGAAAAGCAAGCTAATCTAGGCTTTTCTCGTTTCATTGTTTATACAGTGAGTTCTCAAAGCATAATCAATACTGACTATTTTGAGTATTTTGTCATTTCATTATGGAAATATTGACCTTATGGTTGGAGCATAGGTACTAAAATCTTCTTTCAGGTAGAGTTTACACAATTTATTGAAAAATAACTTATAAACCAATATTTTGAAACAGGTGGGGCCTCTCTAAATAGACACAAATCAACTAAGAATGAGCAGTTCACAATATGTGGCAGTCCTTTCTGAACATAATATATATACAATGTGTTTCATTTGAAAGCAGAACACCTCTTGAAATTTTATTTATTACATATTACTTCTGACTCTTCATTGATTGAAGAGCATGAAAACTATACTTTTTAGGATGAGTTACATTATATTTATAAGATACCAAGGCCTCTACATGATTTCCTCCAGAAATTGGGTAGGTTAATTTTATAAATTCTCAACTAAGAATGAGCAGTTCAAAAAATGTGTTAGTCCTTTCTGAACATAATATAGGTACAATGTGATTCATTTGAAAGCAGAACAGCTCTTGAAAATTATTTATTACTTCTGACTCTTCATTGATTGAAGAGCATGAAAACTATACTTTTTAGGATGAGTTACATTATATTTATAAGATACCAAGGCCTCTACATGAATTCCTCCAGAAATTGGGTAGGTTAATTTTATTAATTCTCACAGCCCAAACAAGGATGCCTTAATCTATCCCTAACCTAACTCACAAACAGGAGTGGATAAAGCTAACAATCTAGGGATATTTTCCATAAAAAAATGCTTGAATAATTTTGATGAATTCTCATCCACATGGTGGTGAGAATATAAAATATTCAATAACAGGAAATTCAAAAATATGTAGTCATACTTTCATACCTATAATTGATTCTTCATTATTATCATTGTTTCATTAAATTTTGATATGTCACAAATAATTAATGATAACTTTAATAGGGAAGATCTAATCATCAAATACTGGTAATTTTGCATTTATCATGTGATGAAGTTTTCTCAGAAATTGTTGTTTCTTACTTATGTATTTTTGTCTGAAAAACATGAATTTGATAATGCAAATGGAACAACCCATTATTTATCAAGATATATTTCACTATAAAGTTACAAATTGTACCTTCTTTTCCGCCTGTCTTTTGGATTGCATTTAGAACAATTTGCCCTTCTTTTTTCATCAATAGACAATTTATAGAATAGAATAGCATTTATTTACTCTATAAAATACCCTGTACTGGGTGTTGAGCTCCTCAAAAATATATAATACAAATATTCATACAAAAATACACACTAATAATAATAATAAATAGACAATCTATGCCACAAACAACAAACCTACAATATAACATGGCAAATAAAATAAGAAGAGATTAAAATAGTTTTTCAATAATTATCACAATGTACTTCAATGACACATTTTTTTACATATGAGTCAACTAGAAATATAATTTTTTTGTGATTTATCAATATTTAGTGAAAAGAATAGAGAATATCATTCAAAATAATTAGTAATATCATTGAGTATTCACACTAGTCAATTAGCTGTAAATGCAACCAAAACAGGGGGAAAAGAAGGCAAAATTTTGAATTTTTTCTTGTATAATATCTGGAAAAGAACCTATAGTGATTTGTTCTCATTTTCAGAAGCATTTTCATTAACAAATTCATGTGTTTCAGACAAAAATACATATCATAGGTAACAAAAAACTTTTTAGAAAAAAAAACATCCCATTATGAGTGCAAGATTTACCCTGGATCTATATTTATTACTCACCTAAAACTCCACCTTTCTACTGAGACATCTCTGTGCAAAAAATTCATGCCTCACCCTTTCAGTAGGCCTATTAGGCTTGTTGGTCATTTTGAAAAATGATGTGATAGAAGTATTGTTAATAGCAGCTGGGGATTTTTTGTCTGTTTCATTCACCTCCTCCCACTCCACATGATAAGCAGTAGTTTTCAAAGCATTCACAGCAGTGGACCAACTGAACCTCACCAGCTGTGGAAAACCAAAGACAGGGTCACAGTAATCCACCAAGAATTTCTTTGTCACTGGATCTGGAATCAAAAGGCTTGGAGATTTATGAAGAAAGATCATAACCACTCACCTCCTGGATAGCCACTGCCAAATTGAGTATGGTTCACATCCAAACCTTCAGGAAACTTCCAAACTTGCAAGGCATGATCCCTAGCAACTTTGGCGCATATACTAGCAGCAGATACTATGGGATAAGTTGAATCAGCCTTCTTAGCTACAGTTATCTGGTATTCTGGGAACAGGCTCTTGAGATAGTCTTGGTACTTTTCCGGTTTTCCCACAGTATCTACAAATATATGCTCGATTTTCACTTGGCTTTTGGCTGCTAATTTAATCAGATCTATGGCAGAATCCATGGACACCTGATTCAAGGAGTATTTGGAACGACTGAGCATGTTGTTGCAAATTGAATTTGGAGAGATCACCTCGACTGCCCAACCGACAGATTTGTTTGATTTGCAGATATTGGAGAATATTACATCTCGTTTTTCTTCATTCAAGGCCTTAGAATCAGCACATTCCAATTGCTCCAGTATCATTTGTTCGTTTATTGGGCAAAAGGCACAGCCGTATACCATAGGACCTGTGAAATAATAGACTTGTGTGATGATAGGGCTCCGAGGACACAGAATCATGATACTAACCTAATACAGGGCCTCTTCCGGCTTCGTCAATTCCCAGTATGCATGGATACTCCTTACATACATCTGGTATATTCGATACATACTTGAAGTTCGCTTTATTATCCTGCTGTTCAATGTAGGAATCTAATGATTCTAACGAGGCAATATTCGTTGTTTTCTCTGATTGAGTATCCATCTCCATTGTATGCCGACTTGTTTACAAACAAAAACAATTTGAGTTGGCGCCAAAATCAATTCGCGCTCCAGTTTGACAATTGTCGATTGTCAGACAGCAACTCACAGAACAAGAAATATAAGTGGGAATTTCGAGTTCTATTGATCATTCTAGAACACGTGATTTTGACATGGTTTCTTGAGGGGCACACAATGAACTCAATACAACTGAGTTCATTGGGGGCACACAAATTATCTGTTAGGTTACCTTTGATGAGCATTGCCCAGGCCGTCCCTCTGCCACATCCACAATATAATAACAGTTTCACCAAACAAAATTATAAAATTCTTTCTGGTTCCAACTCGGATTCCAAAGAAAACGATCCCACTGATTCTGGTTTTCTATGACAGATCTTGACAAAATACAATGTTTGCCCCTCAGCAACCTGTCAAATGACGTAATTGTGGAATGAATAATGGTCCAAGTCTGTGAACATGATTCACGTGAGCCTAAAGTTTTCGAACCATTCCCAAACATTGCCAGAGATTGGCCACAGTAATGATCACACTGATCACAGTGAATCACTCGTAAAACAACAGAATAATCAACGGGGTCTACAAGCGTCTATAAACACCGAAGACAAGCGTCTACAAACACCGGAGGCCGGAGGCTCTCTGAATCCGACGATGTCCGATCATGGTTGGAAAAAACACGAATCTCAACAAATCACGTGATGGAAATGGTTCGAAAGATTTAGGCTCTACTCATTTAGTTGCGTTTTATTTATCCGATTCCGCCACCGGAATCAGTTGGATGTGTCGTTTTAATTGCAACTTTTCCGATTCCGGTTGCTACTTTCCATAATCCTTGCTACTTTCCATCTCTTTTTAATTCTTCTTGATTCAATTGATTGACATTGACACTATGGACAGGAACGTCATCAATGTCAATATTGTCAATTCTGTTAATGTTTATTGATTTGAATTTGAAGTTTAAAGATAATTTGTTTTCATATTGTTTTTATGTATTTATTATTATTTAAATAATGCTGTGATGAAATGATTCGAGTATGAGTTGATCCGAAGAATAGTAAAAAATATATGGATCATAAATGCCAATTAGTAGCAGCGCTGCTACTTTGGTGAGTACATAGGATTCCTTATGAAAACAGGTATTGATACAGATTCATTTGAAGGAAAAGAAAAAGCAGTTCAAACTACACTGTCATGCGAAAAGCATAGATCAAAATGACCGGCAATCAGGGAAGAACCTTTTAAAAATAGCCTCGGCTTTGCCCGCCAAAGACAAGCGTTGTTTGTTCATCAGGTCGCACAGTACACTAAATGCATCTGCAATAACAAAAGTACAACACAATGTGCCTGCTTTCAGCGATTCAGTCACTGTTCGAACTCATTCTGATGGATCCTTACATGTATCACGGCTACAAGAGGAGAAAGAAACACAACCAGACAGGATAAGTTTAGACAGAAAAGGACTAGTTGCTGTTCCTGTAATTGATGGAGAACATAAACTCAGATTGTTATCTTTGCAACATAATTTAGTTAGTAATCTAGAATCTTTAGGGAAGCAGTCTTTCCCCACTCTGGTATTCTTAGATTTGTATGATAACCAATTAGAGAAGATTCATTGTTTGGGTAAATTGGAAAATCTAAGGGTACTACTCCTGGGAAAGAACAGGTGAGATCATCAGTGATTGAATACATTCCCATCAGTTTCCACTCAATCTTTTCAGAATTAAACAAATTGAGGGTTTGAAGACACTTCCAAAACTTGAGGTTCTTGATCTCCATGGGAATCAGATATCTCAAGTGGATGGGCTCAATAGTTCTACAGAACTGAAAGTCCTCAATTTGGCTGGGAATCAGTTGAAGGTTGTTAACAATCAAGATTTTCAAGGTCTTCATTCCCTTCAAGAATTGAATTTAAGAAGAAATAAACTGAAGAAATTGCTGGGATTTGCAGAAGTTCCAAACTTAGTGAAGCTGTTTGTCAGCAATAATGATATTCACTGGTAAGTGATAGTTTTTAGCATAAAACATTGAGTTGATAAGTTATGAATAAATGGAGGAAGATTATTTGCCATAACCACAATAATTATTATCTTGCAGTTTTGTATCATTGGCTTGGAAATGTATCCTAGCAAATTTGAAATGATAATTTCCCTAAAAACAAAAATATACTATACCACTTCCAAAATTAGTCTTATACCAAACTATTGAGACAACTGGTACTATTTTCAGTTGATTGTCTCAATTACATCAAGAAGCATAACTGTTTATAATAGATACATGAATATTTATGACAAATCACCAAAAAATAAAAGATTACCTAATAATGAATTCCATTCAAACATATTCATCTTAAGATGAAAAGTGTTACATTTCAATTATTATGAGTTACCAAATTATGCCTACTAATTATATTATACTGGGTGTCCGCTAAAAGGAGGTCAATCCATTTGCCATATATTCCTTGAACAAAAACAATATGAGTTTCTAAATACCATTTTCCATTTTAGCCCTTCATATTCGATATACAGGGTGTCAAAGTTGGAAATTGAAAACTGTTTTTTTCTAATTACTCGGGTATTTAATAAGATATCAATCTCAAAATTGGTACATTACTTCAGCACAAAGAGTTACATCATGATTGTGAGGAAAACAAAACAGAAAATAACT